AATAATTCTGTGATTTGCTACCCAGGCTAAAGTCACTTACTTACATAGCACAGATAGCGAGAAAATAAGAAAGAATTCATTTGCCCTTCTGTTTTTACTTTGAATTAATATATATATATATATATGTGTGTGTGTGTGTGTGTGTATAATAATTTATATATATATATATATATATGTATGTATGTATATATTAATCATTTCACCCCAAGCAAGACAATAAAACCACTAGGACGCAAGAGCTTACTGAGTGTTAGAGAATATGAGAAAATCTACTCCGATAGAATTCCTGACAACCGGACTAAAAAGGCCTTAGTTACTAGTAATAGTAAATAAATTTATTATTAACAGTAAATAAGTTTATTAGTAATAGTAAATAAATTTACTATTAATAATAAATAAATTTATTACTAGTAGTAAAAAAATTTACTATTAATAGTAAATAAATTTATTTTTAATATTAAATAAATTTATTATTAATAGTAAAGAAATTTATTATTAATAGTAAGTAAACATAATACTGATTATTATTAATTATTAATAACCGACAATGTCGTAGAAGACAGACCGAGAAATTCAATAATTTCAAAACAAACTTAATTTTAATTATAAATTGAAATGAAATATCTTTTAAAAATTAATCTTTCAGATTATTTTTTTTTGAGAGCACAGTAATACAGTTTCTCTTTTTGCTGCCATCTTTCACAAATTCACAAAAAAAACTTTCTCGAAAAATTTTGCAAAACAAATATTAGACAAGAAATTTTTACGCAAAATTTTATCTAACTACTACTGCTAAGTTGAAATTGTTTTTCATTCATTTTTCATTTTTTATTTATCTCATTTTTTGTTTTTAGCATTTCAAACAATCAAATATCTTTTGAATTTATTTATTTTGATTTATTTTTATTTTTTGCATTTGTTTTCCATTTATTTCCTTCCATTTTTATCAAATGTCAATTAGTAGATTTTTTTAATCAGTATGTTCAACTTTAGTTTTAGTGTTAATAAAACAATAAAATACGCTTGAGAAATGTTTGATAAACAAAGCCCTTTGTCAACTTTATCTATAATCTATAAAGAAATAAAAAAAATTTTTCGAATTTGTATAATGAGTTAATATATGTTATTTATACATTCACTCTAACTGATTATGATAAAACTTTTTTTAACAATGGATGTGTCTAAAAGAAAAACTAAGTATACTGCTGTGATTTTGTATTTAAAGGGTGAGTTAGGGGGGCGCCAATCACAATCCTTGCCCCGGGGGTTACCAGACCTCTGCATTCCACTGCTCATACAGTGTAACCCGGATGTAAGAGAGTTGTCGGGACCGGAGAAGAAGTCTCTTATATCCGGCTTTCTCTCATATCCGGGTTTGGTCTATTTTATATACATTAACACAGGCTCTAATTTGGGACCAGAGAAAATCTCTCTTATATCCGGGTTTCTCTTATATCCGGGTCTCTTATATCCGGGTTACATTGTATGTATAATTTGTCTGCTGCTGGTGGTGGTGGTGTGTGTGTGTGAGAGGGAGGCTGATAAAATTAACAAATTTAAAACATAAAATCCCAATCATTCGAACAGTTGCCATGCAAGCAAGATACGTTTACGGAGGTGGGAACGGGACCTGAACGCGAAATGCCAGGTCAAGACAAATAACATTGCAGATTCTTTTATGGATTTCATCAAGGACCTCTAAATATATAGAATGAGCACCATATATATATCGTTAAGTTGCAATCTTAACACCATAAGAGACAGAGAAAACATAGTAGGAAAAATACAATACGTTTTACTTCCTAGATAATGTAGGAAAGCGAGAATGCATGTTTGTCAGCAAGGATTGGTGACAAATAAGATGCGAACCCCGAATTAGAGATATCAAAAGCAAACAAGTCCACAAGTTTAAAAAAAGAAATTTTGGGAAGAGATTTTTTTTTCTTTTTACAGATGATAGAAAAAGGTACATTCTATACGGTGGCCACTGAAAAAGTGAATGATGCAAAACAAAAACAACTTTTAAAAATACGTTTTTTTACTCATTTCTGGATCATCTGAATATTGTATGGAAAACTTTTTAAGCTTGCATTTAAACTATTATTACCTAAAAAAAAAACAAAAAAAAAAAACAAATTCTTAAAACCTAAAAAATATTTAGTTGCGTTAAATAACCCGCAAAGTGTTGATAAGCCGTAAAAAACCCCCAAAAAACGAATCATTCAAATTAAGTTATCCAGCAAATGGAAGTCGTTGCCAAATTTGCTTATAGAGAAACAGTTATGTGCCATACGGTATATATGTTTAGACGATCATGTATCTTTCGATACATGACTGACGTGGCAGATTTTTTCTTGCACTAGGTTGCCATTCTTTTCTGCGGTAGAGCAGTTGCCATCCAAGGCTATAGAACCCTGTCTGTCCTGCTATTTACCCATAGCTGGTAAGAGAAGAAGAGGATTTATACATTTCCCAAGGGTATTAGCACGTAAGTGAATATCAGCCAGTTATGCGTCATGCGTGATACACGCTTAGGCGATCATGTATCTTTTAATACATGACTGACGAGGCAGATTTTTTTTCCCGCAGTGGGTTGCCATTTCTTTCTGGGGTAGACCAGCTGCCATCCAAGGCTATAGAATCCGGTCTGTTCTGCTATCTACCCATAGCTGGAGGCAGAAGAAAAGGATTCATACCTTTCCCAAAGGTATTAGCACGTAAATGAATGTAATGGATTCGACTGGAATTCGACCTCGGCTCCCCGATTCCACAACCCGAGCCGTTGTCTCTTACTCCTCCGTGCCTATAGAGAAACGGATGTCCTAATTAACAGGCGCACTAATTAACCGTATTCTCCCGTACTTTTACCTTTTTGGAAGTTTTTTTATTTATTTTTTTATTTGATCCCGTTCGCTACTACGACTTCCAGAAAATTGATGGCCTGTCATCAACTATATTTGGCAATTTGCGTTTGGTGCTGAAAAAGCCGAAGATGAACCTGTCGCCACGGAGGCGCACCGTCTACGTCAGGTCGGCGCTAGGGTTTTGGGAAAAGGACTGCTGTTTAGGTGGTCTTTGTCGGCGGCACAGCGGGGGGTCTGTCGTCAAAACTTAGAGGTGAGACGGCTGGGTGTAACGGTATGGGGTCTCCTTGCCTTTTGCAAGAGGCCATACACATATTTAAGATACATACATATGTATCCTATATATATATATATATATATATATATATATATATATATATATAAATCTTGTGTATTATTTAGGTAGCAATCCTTCATTTATGCATGTTTCATTAAGAGCGACAGACAAGGTAGTGGGGTTAAACTTTTATTTAATTTTTCTTGTGTTCGCACAAGAGTTTTCTTTTTTGGACACAGAATGTAGAAACTGTCAAAATGTTCTATAGTTCCGAGCGCTTTGAGCTATACATTTAGCCATTATCCTTGAACTACGCTTAGAAAATCACCATATATATATATATATATATATATATATATATATATATATATATATGACATTTCATAAGAAATCTTTTTTTTTTAAAAAATATTACTCCAACATACTTTTGTCACTTTAAACGTTATTTTTAGTGGATACCCATATTTCGGTAGACGCCCCGTTTTTTTTTTAATATTTTTTTTTCGCCTACAGGTCTGAATATTAGACAGACCTAATGAAAAAAAAAAAAAATAGGCCCTTTCCGCCAGGATTCGAACCTGTCCCATTTTTGCAAAAATAATGACGTAATAATTTTTTTTGACGTTAAACGTCAAAAAACGACATTATTACGTCATTATTTTTGCACCAACCTAATATATCGGCCTGGAATGTGGAATCGACAGAGCCGAATTCGAACCTTGTCGTGTTCCTCGCATTCACTTACGTGAAAAAAAAAAAAAAAAAATGCTATTTGTAAAGTATAAATCCATCTAATTCTTTTCGACTATTGATTTTGCTAAATGACGTATCAAAACTGTTATGGGTTATTTAATGGCGAAAGCTATATATTTTGAACACAATTTTATATTTAGTTGAAACCATAAAAGTGTTTTAAATATGTAGATTTCGGCATTAAATAACCCATCGAGGTTGATATGCCGCTAAACGAAATCAACCAAACAAGACATATTTATATTAAAATGATCAAAAATACATTTTATCTGTAGTTGAAGGCATACAATTGCATTCAAAATATATTTAATTGAAGCTATAAAATTAATTTGAAGAAGTCAACATTACGGAAATACTGCTTAGTTAAGGGGAAAAAAATTCATATTAATTTTATTAACTTCTTCGATGTTGAGCACTCTACAACGAAACCTGCTTGTCTTAAATGTCTTTCTATAAACAAAACTGAAAAATCATCAGTTCTGGCTTAAAAAAACAATCTCTCAAACTAACATTACACACACACACACACACACACACACACACACACACACACACATATATATATATATATATATTTATTATTTACATTATTCGGGTTGTTGTCCTCTTCTTTCATGCGATATTTACGACGTTTCGGCCGTTGTACGCTCCACCATACTTCAGGTGATTGGAATTTCGAAATGAAACCTTTATTTCGTTCACTGGGGTAGAGTGTTCTAGTTCCACGTGCCATCCCTCTTCCGGATGTCTCAGTTATCTCCCCTTAACTCAACTCTCCAAATTTTTGTTCACAACTGCAGTAGCCAGGTACTGAACTCACAACCCTGTGAGTCAAGTCACCAACGCATTTATCCACCGTTGAAATGTCGTGAATATGACAATAAAGATGAAGACAACAGTCCGAATAATGTTATAATACTAAAACCGCATTTCATATATATATATATATATATATATTCTGATGATGGCCATGCTCGAGGAACCTAATTGAAATAATAAAACAACAACAAAAAAAAAAAATAATATACAACATACTTTTATGGAATAGACAATTATGCTGTTTCACCCAGCCTGAAAAATTTTTTAGGTTCAAAACACACACATTG